TAGAAAAAACATTTTGGCGTCCCCTTTAGACACCACATCCCTAAAATTACAAACTATTGAGTCTTTTATTCGGCGATCCTTTCGTCTTGTCTCTTCCCTCTGGTCACATCCCACAGCCCACCGCGGCGTGTTTCCCCCTGACGGAGTCAGCTTACCCATCGAGTAGCAGGCTCCAGAGGGGTCACAATAACCCCTTGAATGAGTAAGCTAGCCAAAACGAAAGCATAAAATATAGCTGCGCCTGTTTCTCAACAAATGTTATGAATCATTCTGTTTTAATTGGGACTGTAATTTGAATCGGTTTGCGACTTTGCCAGGCCGTTTGGCCGAAAACAGGGGCGAGCCAGGGCCGAACCATATTCGACACTGGTTTTCCAATTCCTGTTTACGCCCATGATCTTTAAGAATGCTTGAAGTCTCGTTACTGCTAGTCTCATGACGGCGATGTCCATGTCGCCGATAGCTGCAGAGCAGATAAGCTTGTCGTCACCTAATATATCGCAATTGAATGGTTAGATGGCTTTTAAGTCCGTTTTAACTTGTGACATAGTCTCCGTTACGAAGAGAGGGATGTTACGCCGCACTTATTAGTAAAAAGAAGCTTTTCAATGTTTACGTGACTTTCATGATTAGCCAAAATAAAGAAGACTTGATTTTTTTTTTAAAGTGTTTCACATAATGCCTCGACGAAGACTTCCGCAGTTATCCAACCACTAGGGCGAGCAGTATTGTTTTATCCGTCAAGACTGCCGAATGAAAAGGCATTTTGCTTAAAGAAAGGGAAGGAACGAAAGCATTGTATTACCAATTGCGCTGATGCTAAAACAAACGTTTACGGAGGTGCCTCTTTTGGCAAAGGTTATTTGCCATATTTCAGGGGATTTTTAGCTGGCCACGACTTCAAAGCAAGTTTGCACGTTCCTACTTCTCAGTCTCTTCACAGTTATAGATATTCTAGGGTTCGAAATAGAATGTTTTCCTAACGTGTGTCAAATTTGCGAGGATTTCCCCGACACTTTCTTTTACCAAAGCCAGACCTCTCAAGAGGTTCATAGTCTCAGACGCAGGCATACTCGTATCCAAATTGCGTTATCATCTGCCTCGCTACGGCGCAAGTTGACTTGCGAAATGTAATACTCTACTAGCAATTTTTGCTCTACTGGCGAGAATATATTGCCCCTACGTACGGAGTCTTACTTTGCTCTGTTTCTTTTTTTGCTTCTCTTAGTCCTTACTGCAGCAGCTCAAAACGGTTTTACCAGTTTCATAGACGAAGGCCCTCTGATTTATATCATCCACTATTGGCTACAGATACTACATATTTAGTCTTAACTTTGGCCTTTCGTTGTTTAACCTTCGAGTCTACAAAAAATACAAAGAAATACAATAATAATAAAAAAGATAAAAATATTAAAATAAAATTGCCCATAGTTTCCTGATTTTTTAGAAACAAACAGCTTCGTCCTTAGAGTGTACTCCACGTACCTTGTTCGCGGGTGTTTGCACAAGATAGACTACTGAACAATCAATTCAGACTGCTTTAGACTGTGCATTACTGCGATAGTTCGAGATAGTTTCGTTCATACGTCAGATTTCAGCGATGAATATAACCGTAATGTTATTTCCTCGTAATCAGGTTGTATCAATTTGCCCACTTCACACGGCTCTTCTATTTCCTGCAACAGCAACCTCTGTTTTCGGTCTTGTTTTTCGAACATCGATTTACAAAATAATATAGAAGAAGACGACGACAACTTGGTTGGGAAGAATTGGCGTTGAATGTGGCAACACCATTAGGCTTATTGTTCTATAAAAAGATTAACAAACTACTGGGACTAAGCTAAGATGCTGACAGCGCCACGACATGCTGCTGGCAGATCTCAGATGTGAGCTCAGGGCTCACATCGTAACGGATCGTAACGGAAAAAATACCGAATTAAGGCGAAAAGATGGCTGCGTCCCGTGATTCCTTTGTGATATGGATAATTTCACAAAACGACCAATATACTATAAAATCTATAGCGCGGATGTGTTTATGATTTTGACGCATAAAAACACGAGGCGGGCTATCACGTGTGTCACACTTAACCCCAACGCCATTTTTAGATAAACCTCAATTTGAAAAAAAAATATGAATTACTTGGGTGAATTAAAATATGTACTACCATAAACTAAAAGATCACGCGTCTTCGCTGGCATTGACAATATCTTACCAATGTTAGATAAATAACAGTTAAGAAAAATGTTTATGGTGAATAAGGAAAGAACATTTGTACGAACTTGAAGACCAGTGACTTAAATTGAGTCTTACTCTACGACATTATAACGTTCCTCACAAGCATGCTGTGCAAGTTTGAGAAAATACTTCCACTGTTCTAAACCAAACCTGCCTAATCTCAGCCCTCTCTATAAACTGGAAATCATAGGGCATCAAATACCTTATCAATTACTTCCAACCTAATCTATAGCAAATAACTCAGTAATATGTACGATTACGTACGAGCCAAATAAAGCAAGGGAAGGCGATGGTCATCCTGGCAGAGATCACATCAATTTCTATAGCTCACGCACAGGAAACAACCAATTAACTCGTGAAACACAGACATCTTAGGTAGAACCTGACGATAACGCTGGATGCATCTCATTCGATTACTGCCGTTAATCCAGTATTGACTTTTCTATGCAACGTTGACTATGGCAATGGTGCGGAAAAAGGCCAAATTTAAGTCCTTTAATCTGCGTTCTTTTATACCGTATATATAGGTTCTGACGTATCGAATCTCTTCCTTGTGGTCCCTGTGGCAAACTCTGGTTCACATAACTGGAACACAAGTTTGTTTTTCCTGGTTGTCTCTCGAGGTCCTTGTAAAGGTTAGGTTTTATATGAAGAAGACTGGGAAGTTGTCTGGTGGTCATCTGATATTCTTTGAGGAATGCCGTGAGGTCCATTTAGGGAAATAGAGAATACGGTAGATACAGCTTCTGCAACTACTGGAGACAACTTAACTATATACGACTTATGCTCTTGTGGTCCTTTTCATAATATGAGCACCGAAAGCTCTTATTTTATAGTAGCTTCATCCCGAGGTAGTTAAAGCATCCAAGGTGCTAAATTGCAATATCCTTAAGAAGCACAATTTCCAGTGCTGTCACGTGCCAAATTGTACGCAATTTTGTTGTTTTTATTTGCTAATTTGATCTTTTAAAGCTATCTACATGAAGCAGTCAAATCTACAAGATAGGTCAGAATTCTGACGCGGTATAGCCAACGATCAGGCGGCTTGCGCGTTTCTTCTAGAAAACATCCTGAGTATATAGGTACTTGCCTTTTTTTTTGATTAAATTTAATTGGAAAACGCTATTCATCTGCAAAGGTCATAAAGCACGCCGCTGCGGAATCAGTGCTCTAGTTGTTAAACGAGCCCGCCTCATTACTCAGCAGATTCGTCGCCTAACGGCTGAGTTGTATAACCCAGCCGTGAGGGCAGTCAAGTAGTGATCGATATCAAGTTGCTTAAATCGATAAACACTAAAATCTCCATCGGGATGCTTTAATGGAAGATATTTGGAGTGGTACGGAGTGTGACATATAGCATTCGGATGAGTGACCGTTCTTCAAATTTTTGTCGCTCTTCTGGTTAAGTTGTGTATACAGTTCCGATCAGACGTTCCGGACCCTGACTAGATTTGTTGTAGTTTAAAACGGCTCTCGGCCTAACTACATTCGTAAATACTTAATTTCTGAAAAAGCCTTTTACACCGTTCCCTGCTACATATTCCAGCTTACATGAATTGATAAAATCGACCGCTTTAATCCTTTTGACATGAGCAATACAATAAAATGCGTTAAAAATAAAAAAAAGACACAGATACCAGTTTGAACTGACCACTAACTATAGCGAATCGATACGCACGAGGCGCAACGCTAGTTTCTGAAAATCTTCTTACAAAACTCTTTATATTCTTCCGACAAGCTTTCGGTCCTGGCAAGCAAAATTTTCGTACAACTATATGGGTCTTATTCAATGTTATATGTGTGGTGTATTATACGTTATCGTTTGTAACGAAGATAATTAACGTTTGCCCGAAAGTCGAATGGTCAAGTTGGCTTATAGCCATTTGACCTCGGTAAAAACAAACATCCATGAAGGTGTATCGTATATAAGGTATATCGTATACATATATGTAAGGTATATATATATATATATATATATGAAGGTATAATATCCATGAACGTGCGGTTTTCTCAAGCAGTCTTTGCATGCTTTACTGTGCATCAACCGTTAGGGTCGAATTTGCAAGATGATGAATATTAAAGAAATGCCTTTCGTTATGTCACGCTAGTTAAACAAAAGCAACTGAGGCTGACTTACATTGGTAGGGTCGTCCAGCTGGTATGCCCAAAGAAGTTAGTAGCAGCCCACCAGCTCTTCCCGAATCTCTTATTATATTTTACATGGCCTCCTTTCGACAAATCTAAAATACCTCTTTTTTAGTATGGTTTTAATAAAAAAAAAAAAAAAAAAATCGGTACCTACTTAGCTTTCGACTAAAAACCCCAAACATCCGTCATGCATTCGTTATTTGTACGAATACGTTGAATGCTCTTGTTAGATAGGGAATTAACTTACCTATCATGTAACTATAACGTAGCCCAAAACGCATTCTTCTCAAATTTTGTCAACTGTTTTGTTTTTGCCTGACGAGAGATTTTGTTTTTAAACTAGTCGACGTTGTCCGACGGCCTTTGCTACAACGAATGTTTCGACGGGAATGTGGGCTCAATCTATCTCATCGTATGAGAAACATGCATTTGTGCACACAGAAGTCCTCTCAGTGTCTTGCCGTGCTGTTTATCCATCTTATAGTCATGTCTTTTGCAGCGTATGTTCAGTAGATACGAATTGTACGAGCGAATTTCTCAAATTTGTGTGATCTGTTCTCTTTTTATTGTGTGCGCACATTTTTTTCGTACTTTGGGCTCGAACCTCCTACTTCAGGAAGCGCGGTGGCCATAGCGCATTCACACCGCGTATTGAACGCCACAAGAGGTCGCTTGATGTCGGCGGCTCCATGAACGGTCTGGGTAGTTTCGGCCAGTCATCCATGAGGCGCCTACTCCCTGAGGACTTGCAAGCGTTGTTCCGACGTACGATGCGACAGCTCATTCCAAACCCTCGTGTGGGCCGGACGGATGCCTTCGTGCCACGGTCAGTGTCTCGGTTACATACAGAATCCTGACTAATAAGTATTTGTACTCACCGCATTGAAAGTAGGAACACGTTTCTAGGAATGCGTATGATGCACCATTAGAAAAACCCCAGTTTTCAAAGAGTAGCACACATGTTTAAACTGTACTTGTCTCACTGTAGAACCGCCTCTAACTATGACATGTTAAAACCAGTATAAACACAGATATCAAATGAATGAACTAGTGACTTACAACCGAAAGACATTATCATCACATGCTGCATTGATCGGAGATACTCATTGGCCAAATTTGAACCCTCTAGGATCTCAGCGAGTCGTTCAATCGGCACTTGATATTTCATATATATATATTACAAACAAAGCTAAGTGCAACAAAGGATTAAGCTTATGCAATTCCTCGAGCGCGTCAATGATGTTGGCATGCATCGTCAACATAATAAAACCTATCCTTATACCTCTTTCTCCAATGGACCGAAACCCTTCATTATCGATATTTTTGCTATGGATGGAAGCACGAATTTACAATAAAAGTTATAACCTACAGCAGTAAGTGCAAAATGGGTTTTAAAACGGGTTGATTGGTGTTGCGATGTTACATGCGGCACAATTGCATTCTTAAAATAAACAAAGTACTAAAGATGTGTTGATCCGCCGGCTTCCAAGGACGTAATATTTAGCGAAGTAGTCTTCCATAAATGGTGTACCGTGAATAATGTTTGCATGAACACATTTTCATAAAAAAAAAAAAAAAAAAAAACAACTTGCATTGCATATTCTCGCGTAAAGGAAATCGTTTCGACCTACGTCTCCCAGCTTGTTGCAGAATACGCGTCCGTTACGCCCCACTCATTGGGAATTCAAAAACCTGACGCAGAAGCGCTTATTTAGAACTATTTAAATGTGATGGAAGAGATCGTAATTATCTTAGACTGCAAAGTATCTCTAGCGGATTTTAGAAAATTCGCGTTGAAGTCACCCTCAACTTGTTGTAAGACCAAAGTTAGGAGCTTTAGACAAAGCAGAGTAACTAACTGTCCGTGGGTGCGCTACTTCCTATCCCCTAGTGATTAAAGCATATATATATATATATATATATATATATATATATATATACATCTGATTTAGCAGGAAAAAGTAGTTTAATCTCATCATTGAGCTATAAATTTGCTTCCTTAATTTACTGGCTTTAGGGCATACATTGAAGAAAAAACGACATAGCCAAACAGAGAATGTTTTCGACGTCTACAAATAGACATAATAGTATCGCCGGTGTAGCAGCATTGGGAAAAATCAATAAAGCACACAGTTAAAGCAAAAAAAGCAGACTCACAGTTTTTTACATAAAAAATTTATATCGATACTACTTATTAAAATGTGCTTATTGCTTTATGATATTGCCGTGATACAATTGACTATTCGGCGCAACAACTATCGTCATTGGTAAAGACTCCCAGTCATCACTGACCTATGGGCATTGCTGGTCTATGCACATTTTTATTTTATGAGACATATATATATATATATATATATATTTTAAGCTGTAAAAATTTTAGTTGAAATTGCCAGCCAGTGTAGTAATCTAGTCTACAAGGGCCATTTAACGACTATTGTGTAGAACCTGGCTTATAAAGTAAATAGGTTTTTGGTTCTTGGTGAACTCTTAGCTTAAAGTGCCTTATAACTACCGGATCTAGAGGTACTTTTTTGGCATCTGACGCGGGTATCCACATCAACACACAAAACGTAAGCCAACCTGGCTTATGACACCATCGAATTCCTAAGAACGACACCAGATCTAAAACTCGAAACACAAAGGTTTATAAGTCCAACGCCGCTACCGTGTTAGCCGTCACCAAGACCCTTGGGATGTACGTATCCGGTCGGAGCATAAGCAACTGAGGTTTTGTTTACCAAACTGAGAATGCACCGTCAAACCACAAACCTTACCTACAAACCATTCTATGTATCCGCTGTTACTTTCGACGACCTTCTCTTACCTGTCAATCAAATTCTTTAAGACTTCTCGCTAGAATTTACAGCTGAAAAAGAAGCGGTCCAGTGAAATTGTGCGGCCCTTTTCATTATCAAATGTGAGTTTTTATTAATTTGATTTGCCAGTGATCAGAAAAGTGTGAATATTCGTTGGAGCGAGGCTAAAAGAATATTCTGTTAACCTCTTGTAGGATGTCTGGCACAATCTATCCACGTGCAGTCTGGGAGTTTCATAAAGCAGCATGACTCCATCTTGACTCATGGGTTTTTTCCCTTGGATAGCCTAGTTCATTCGGTATAACTGGGCTAGACACAAATTGTTCTTAACTGTTTCATTATTCTCAGTCTGTTTCCATACAAGATATTTCCAGTACTACCAAACGCAAACCATGATCTCTTGGGACAGATATGTTGCTTTGAGCGGACCATTTTCGTCCGAGCTTTATGCTGACGTGGAGACACCACTTTTCGCTGTTAGTCATGCTGCTGTACAAAAACCTGTTGATTTAGCTATAACTTGCTCGGTGTTTAGCGAGAGACTGAGAGCTAGTGGAAAGCCGTGTCTGTTTGTGATGACCACTCTATTCATAAGGCACCTAAACTTCCAAGTTTCGGGTAAATCCCATCTACCTAAAATGTCGATAGCCATATGACTGTGGATAATTTTTCGTGGCTTTCAATCGTCCTCATCGACCTTAGATGACCAACCGAGGCGCACCCTCCATTGCCAGGAGTCAATTTTTAAAATCCGTTTAAAGTGGCCTTCACAGTTATAGAATACAATTACAGTACACGGTAGCTGTCTAAGATAAGGAAAAAGGCGATGTAAAACAACTTTTTTTGCCTAGAGCCTCCTTTTCTATTGCCGGAGCTCGACATAAAATTATGCCTAACAGGCTAACAGAAAACAGAGGAGATACTTCACAATGCTATGTAGAGGTGGAGAACAAAAAACGAAAGGGAAAAGGGCAAACAAGCTGGTCGTACTTGTGTTACAACACAATAGTATGCATGTAGTACAATCATGGTTTTTAAAACACAATACTTCGCGAGAACACGATGTATTTTAATTACATAAAGAAGAGAAGAAATTAGGGAAATTCTGAGAAGAATATGAATCGTAGCCAGTACCCGTCATTTAATTGACCGCCCGTTGACCTTGAAGACATCGGCTCTCATACGTTTTACTAGCTCGCCCTAGTTTGTTCGCCATAGGGAGTTGTCTAAACAAATGCATGTATGTTTATTTGAATCTCAGCTCCGAAGAAAGGTCAAAATATTGGATACAGGTTCACTGCTTCCAAAGCGGTCGGTTATAGGGATGGGTTAACATTCGTAGCCTTTTAGAAGTACTTTGGCTCATTTATCTAAGACTAGGACAAACTAACTCTTAGTCAGAAGTATAAAGGGTTTTCTCTCGATATTATGGCATCCCGACATATGACGTTTGTTGGTAGACTCATTGCTACTGTATTAACGCGGGGATGTCGCTGTTCTGAAAACCCTGCGTTGATCAAACATAAGTCCTTCAATAAACAAACGAAAACCAGCGATCTTGGACCTGTGGTCGGATTTTTAAAAAAAAAACTGTTGATTTGTCGAAAGTAATCTGAATATACCTTACTACCTATTTCACCGGCACATGCGTATACACATATGTGTCTTAATAAATAAGGGTGAAGTTCTGGAAAAGGTTACGGAATGACTACGTGTAAATCTTCATATCGCGTAAACGCTAATGTCAACGAAACAGAGAGTACTTACTGGACAACGGCACTAAATTATTCTATATGATAAAGACAATTATTCTAAGCTTGAAAAAAATCTTCTTGGATTTATTAAACTGAATTAGGTTACTTCTGCAAATACTGTGTTCATAAGATAATGACACTGACTGCTTGTAAAATCCAAAAGTAATCGAACCCTCATATAATTAGAAATATCATTATGCAGGTACTTGGTATCAAGAAGCAGCAACGTAATGTGTTGGAAAAATGTGCCCTTACTACAGTTCCAAATGCCGATACGGGCGTCATAGAAAGTCTTATTGGATCGCTATAGCGCCCTATAATGCGGTCTTTAGGGTAAGATGACGAAATTAGATGCATTTCTTTCAATATGACCTCATTCTGTTTGCCTATGTGCTGTTTGCCATATGTTCATGTTGATCAGTCTATAGTAATATTCCGGTTGAAAGTTTTTCGTCTTTTCCTTCTGCGATAAGTCGTGCGAAAAAAACAGGGAGCACTATCAACCTACGCTATAACGGTTCATTCCTGACACCTACGTGTCTGACGCTTGAGCAAAAGACACCTAATATAAACAATTATGAGTAATGTAAAGCTGATGCGCATCGCGGGCGGGAAACGAGGAGAACTTTAAATAAATTCGAAAACCTTGAATATATGCCGGCGTGGAGACTCTCTGAATATCGCTGATTCAATAATATAAAATTGGCCTCATATAGATATACATATCTTTGATTCAGAGTGCAGCAGCCCGACAACGCTTGTGAATAATGTTAGATTAAGAGGTCGGGGCATATACCGAGTGATGGCAGTTGCCCGATATCCGAATCTGGCTTTGTCTATTTTTCGAGTCACTACACATTTAGTCCCATATCTCTTATAAAGATCTGCATCTTGGACGTTTTAACGTTGTCTTGTTTGTTTGTTTGTTGTAAAGGGAGCGAAGGACGATGTCAAGCATTCATTTAATAATATGAATCCTAGTAATGAACAGAAATGCATATTGATATAGGGTCAATCGAGCTTTCCTCTTCAGTGGACGAACAGGAGCTGCATAGCACCACAAGAACTATGTCGTCAAGCATACGAAATAGGCACGATTCTATAGATCATGTTTAAGTTTGGTGAAGGAATCTCTTGCACGTATTTTACGAAGAGCATCTTAATGAAACTTATTCAATTGCGCGGTTTGTTCTAGCACTATGGATGTAGCAGAAGACAAAATGGCAGTAGGAATAGGGTACGTGAGATAGTTGCTA